CTGCCAGGAGATGACATTATTTTCGTACCAGGAACACAGCGAATCCAGGGAAGTGGGGGAGGCCAGCCTGCAGAAGAGGGCTAGGCATAGGGGCATTTATTCTGCTTGGTCCTCACCCCAGGGCTGGTACCACTTCTTCCCTCAGGAGCTCCAAGCTCCTGCAAGTGTCTAGGACTGGGGCCCCTTCCTTTGTCCTGTGCCAGGGGCCACAGCATCCCCTGCAGCCAGCAGTGCAATCGGCTTTCCCCCCACAGGTCCCGGTAGGACGGTGGTGCTTGGGCACCTCTATCCAACAGAGCTATACAAGTTTGAATCCCTCCCCCTCCGTGAGGCTTCCTACCATACTTGGCTTTGATCTTAAGCAGCTGAGGTTAGAGTAGAGGGGAAGAGGAATCAAAGGCACAGAAGGGAAGAGCAGCTCCGCACCAATGAGCCAGACTTTCCCATTTACATGCACTTTAAAATGGTTGCCTACTTGGATTCAACACATGAACTTACATTACAGTGTATTGAGTCTCGCTGACTCAATTGCTGACACCTTTTATTTTAGCTCTGGGGAGCCCTTGGTTCAGCAGCCTCAGCCATGCTTACTGCCCTTTGCCTAGGACCTAGAGTCTTGCTGCCTCACTGATGTAATAACTTTCTTTCCTCCTCTAGCCTAGAGAGTGAGCAATGACCAAAACCACCATTCAGGCAGCTTTGTTTAATTCTACCTCTCACTCCTTAGCTTCTGAAAATTCATTAACAGGTTAAGTCAATATGGAAACTATTAGCCCACCACTTAAACAAGACCATTTGCTACTGGATCTCATATTCCCTAAATTGGCCCACAGGGGGCTTCTCTTTTCTATTGCAGGAAGCCATGTTTCTGTCAACATCACATCCTTGTTGCCAAAGCTGTCAAAAATTGTGATGTGACTAGGCTTTTACCTTACTTGCAAGCCACAAAGCTATGCTGTTTCTGTCATGGATGCTGGCAGAAGTGGTTAGACGCCTGTGTCAGAGGCAAAGGACTTTATCACCCATGACACAGCTAGCAGGATGAGGATCATGTGAGTGACAGTTCACTTTCCCCTCCAAGTCCCCTGGCAGAAGGGCCTAGGTGGCTACTGTATTCAGTGGGTCTGCATCACAGTGGAAGAATACTGAACTTGAAAACATTTACCATTTTTCTAACAAGCAGAAGCAAGCATGCTCTTTGCCTGGGGAGTCGTTATTGCATCCATCAAGGTGAGAGACACGGACCAAGCAAAGAACAGTAAGTAAGGTCTTTGCATTTTTAGCATACCCAATTACCCAGCATGCTCCAGTAGAGTCATGGCTGCTCAGGACAGTGTGCTTCTCCCCCACACAATCCTATCAAATCTAATACCAGAGGTCTTAGGCAGTACAATAAGGCAAGTAAATAAATAAAAGTCACATACTGGGCCTGCCGAGTGGCACGTTGGTTAAGAGCTGGCTTGGTGCACCAGCTCTGAGCAGCAGGGCCCCGGTTCGGATCCCACATGGGGCCAGTGACACTGCCCTCTACAGCTAAGATGTTGAATAACAGCTCAACCTGGAGCTGGGCTGCCGTGAGTCGCCGGTGACAGCGTAGGCTGCAGCCCCTGCTGCAGTGGGTTGCCACAAGCTACCATGTGTGGCTGGCAGCAGCGTGAGCAGCTGGCAGCCGGTGACATGTATTTATTTTATAATGTAATGATGCTGGCAAATGATTCACAAATACACAGTATAAAATATTTTAAATGCCCAACCTAGGTAAGTTAGGAAAGGATAGGGTAAATGCTTTGTGGATTGTTCTGTTAAAAGTATACAATGTTGATGCATGTGCTTTATCCAATTATAATCAGTTTTCAATTATTCCCTTATGGGTAATGAATCACCAATGTTGTTGATTCTCTACTACCTTGGCTACTCCCCACTTAATGGATGTTTCAGCAGATGGTCCATTTCTCTTTTCCTGGTAAAACATTTGTTGTGAAAGAAATTTAAAGTTGAGAAGCTAAATGAAATTCTTGAATTGGCTTTAAACTGAAATAATCCTTTCTTCTTTGGGCTCCAGTATCAGAGAGAGTTAAGAGTTAGTCTTGTTAAGTATTCATTGAAAAAGCACCCTTCAAGCAATGCAATTAAAAAGTGATTTTTCAACAATTAGAAACAGCTTTTGCCCATATACTTTGAAAATAATTTCAAAGCACTATCAGTTGTGGTTAATTCCAATATTTTGTAAAGTTGAGGGGTTTTTTCATACAAACTCAGAATCATCAAAAATGTAGTCTCAGAGCTAGACACAAGATGGATAGTCATATGATATGAATAGTTCAATGTAAATGCAAACAATAATCTCTCTCATACTCACAGCTGTCCAAACTTAAGGGGGCAAATGTATAAAATTAAATATTAAAGGCTCCCATATCAAGAATTTTAGCCATTAAAATTCCTTTGCACTCAAACTATAACTAAAAACAAAAATATAACTTGTGAAAAAGAATTTTAATAGAGATATTTAGGGTTAGATTCATATCTGTTGCTTAGTTATCATTAGAAAAGTTAAACTTCTTTATCAGGTTATTAATTAACTAATTAATAGATAATCTATAAAGTTATTTTATGACATAAAATTTGGTTTTAAATAACCAGTTATAGCATTTTTTCAAAATTAATATCCTATATGAATACAAAATATACTTAATGCACAAGTGTGAAAACCTGTTACTATGAAAATAAGAACCTTTGTAAATTCTGACATATGTAATTTGATATTAATTTTTTTCATGAAAAAAATATCATTTGATTTTCAATCCAGTGGTTTAGATATTTTCATCTTTGTTAAAGACAAAGGAAGTTAGGATAATCCTGCTAAGAAATCAGAGAACCTTGTAATCACCAAACCAATTTGTGATGTTTAAAAGAAAAGTATACTAAACATTATATGCAATAAAAAATTGTTCTTTGTAATATATTGTGTATTTTAAACCACAAGTCACTAGCACAGGGAATAAAGAGCGATCTCAAGACCTGAGCTTTTTTGCTGCCATTATTTCTTCCAGAGATCCCAGAATTTGTTTTTCCAAATTAATCTGAATTTAACTTGGAAATACTGACTCACAGAGACTTAAACAAACCACAGAAACATACTTCAATAGAAAGAATCAAAGCTATTTTGTGACCTAGAAAATGCTTGACTTTCCAAAAATCATATAGTAAGTGGTGTCTGAACCCAGAGCATCCAATTCTAAGTTCCAAGCACCTTCAGAATTTTCCAAAGAGAGAGGGCCCACTACAGGTAGAGGGGAGTTTGCACAGTTCTAACACTGGCTCTACTGCTAACTTACTTAGATTTTTCAAGTTATTAAACTTCTCTGTGCCTTGGTTTCCTCTACTTCATGGGGATATTTTAATGACAAATATAAGCAAATACTTGAATTCTGGCAGAAAAGCATAATATATATTTCACTTGTTAATAATTTCTCATCCCCACAAGTTTCAACTAATGCTAATATCTTTTCTCTGGTTTTAGTTTTAAGCTTCAAATAACATGTGTACACATATACTAACTATCTTTCAACATGGTTGGCACTCTAACAAGATCCTTTTCTCCAACTTTCAAAATGCAAGAAAAATAGCACAATATTTTAATTTTTGGCATTACCAAAGCCTTGCCACTCAAAGCTGTGCAGAAAATTTTAGAAATACACAATAAAATTTTCTACCACATTACTCTCAACTTCTACAAAAATGCAATTCAAAACTTATATACTACTCAGCCAACCCCTGTGATGCTTAAACACTACCAGGTTACAAAAATGCATATTGCTTTACAAATTTATAAAAGAATAATTCCAATTACAAATTTAAAATTTAGAATAATTTTAATAAATGAGAATCACAAATATTCCTAAAATAATGGAATTAAGTGATCAATATTCTAATAATTCAGTCATTTGCAACAGATATAAAACATAGCCACTTTATATACTCAAGTCTAAAAAACTTCTCAATTTTGAGAAATGAAAATTATAGGCAACCAAAATTAATAGAAATTTAATTTTAAAGTAATATTTTAAGTTAATTATGTGTTATACCATTGCTTTTATTCTTTTGACAGCATATTCATCTCAAAATAATTTCACTTTATAATTTATGAAGACATGTAGCTAACTTCCTTTTTCGTTTATCAATATATTTACCCAGTAATATTAGCATACTTAGGACAGAGCAATCCACTAAAAGTGCCCAAGTAAAATAGAAATAGCCAGTTGAAATATAATATGGCAAATGATCAGTATATATCTACTGAATGAAAGGGCTCCCAAAGGTGAAGGCTGAGGAGTAATCTAGAAAGTAATGCACATGACTAAAACTTTACACACTAAGAGTATACTAATAGCAATGGAATTTTTAAAAAATATTTTAGGGTATAATCACCTTAGATTAATCTGATTAATATTCTGAATGAGTGAATGAACACCTGAATGAATGCATACTGATATTAGAACAATGTTTAACACTTTGAGATGTTCACAAGAAGTTGGAATACACAGAGACAATGACTCGAATACAAAGTAGTTGAAATTCAATGTGGTTCACAGTAAAAATGCAGTGCCTTTCTATGTGTAGAACAAAGATTCTCAACCAAAAACATATATATATATATATATATATATATATA